GCCCACCATTATCCTTCTAATAAGCACCTTATCCAAGCTGCAATTATTCCCTTAATGACCCAACCCCAACTAAAATTAGAAAAATGAAAAAGAAAAAGAAATAAAAAATTACAAATCAGCTGTAATTTTTAAAAATAGTTACTCATGCATGAAAAAATATATAATTTTAATAATTAATATTTTATCATTATTTTGAAGAGAAAAAAAAAATTCAACATTTGCACTCACATGAAATTTTCCCAAGAAAAAAGCTAAAAACTTTTTTCTCCAACATTTTTTTGCTTGTGAGGGTCATAAATTCACATCAAAAAATTGAAAATAATTTATAAAATTTGTTGGTATAAGTCCTTCACCATCATGGGTCCAATTCCTTTTAGGGGAGTTGAATTAAGAAAGTGCAAGTACTTAGGTACTTTGCCAAAGGTGAGTAAATTTTCTCTCACAGGTACTAATCTAAGCATCTCCAATGGTAGTAGGCATTTTACCTATCTAAATATTACTATAAAGTATACATTTTATTTTGCCTATCAACGATTTCATGTTTCTACCCCAACCATGCTCTTTATTTTAGCTATTCATCCAAATACTATTAACTTTATAGAATGCCACGTCAGCAACAAAGATGGAGGGAAATAATCTTAATGATTAAATACATTTTGCCTAGCCTTGAAGGCTAGCTACATGTAGCTAGTGAATGTGAGCTGAGCCAAAATGCCTAAGCATATGCCTAGTGCATTGGAGTTAAAAAAAGTGAGTCACATTAGGCATTTTGACTAACAAGCATCATATGCCTAGTGGGTTGGAGATGCTCTAACAACTAACAACTAACATTTGCTGATAAATATATATATATATATATATATCGGAATCTAAGATAAATTGTACTCGTAATTTTTGTATTTTGATCTTTGTATTATTTTTATTTTTATAATTTTAATTGACTCAATTTTAATCTTAAATTTATAAATTTATCTCAATTTTATCCAATAGAATACAATCATTAGCATTTTTTTAATAAAAATGCATACATAAGTGGCATGTGTCACGATTTTAAGGACAAAATTATAAGTTTGCTCAACTCTTTGAATTAAACCTCAATCAATTTAATGATAATTTTTCATAAAAAATACCAACGGTATTATCAGTTACACCAAATTGACATAAAATCTAAAATTAAGGGTCAAAATTGAGCTAATTGAATGTGTAGGGACCAAAATGACACAATAGGCAAAATATAGAGAATACTGGTATAATTTGCCCTATGATCATAAAAAAATAGAAACTTTTATTTTATTATATTATTTGTAATATTATAAATTCAGACTTAATTATTTAGAAATTATTCAGAATTATCATATTACAATTTAGATTTATTCTACAGATGTACCTCACACTACACAAATTTAATTTCAATCACAAATTACTCATTCAAAGTAAATTCAAGATATTTAAGATGAGTTCATAGCATTTTTCTTATATTTTAGTAGCCCTTTTTACGCTTCCAATTCAATTTTCTATAATCTAAATCAATATGACAACATATTCAAAAAAATCATTTAGTATTTTATTCGAAATATAATAAAATAAAAGTTTACGAAAATTCATACCAAAAAAAAATTTACAAAAAGAATGTAGTGGTGATATTCTTGTAAAAATGCCGAATTAAATCAAACTGATTATTAAACAAAATAAAATAAAATAATTGATAATTGAACATTTATTATTAATTTTTAAAATCTTTTCATATACTCGTGATATTTGCAGTGATGGCAATAACTTTTGCAATACTAATCGAGGCTACATTTATATATCTATCATAAAATTTTAAAAATTAAAATAAAATTTATTTTAATAATACTAGAAAATGTGCACACCCGTTGAGTGTGTGCAAGATACAAAACTTAATCGGTTTATTTTTATTAATTAACAAAAAAAATTGTAGATAAAGAGAAAAAAAAGAAAGCAAAGCAAAGATGTCCCCGCATGGGAAGAAGGGGCACGACGGTATCTTAAGGTACAGTAGTTATTGTTGTTTTTTCGTGGAAGGTCTTTTAGATTTTTTTTTTATAATTCAAATCGTCATGTTATAAGATTTATCAAGAATATTATTCATATAAAAAATCAAGTTAATCGAATGTTCATAATCTTATGGTTAAATTTTAATTATTTTTAAAAATTTATTAATGTTATGTTAATCATTAATTTTGATAAAAAAATGTGTTTTGATTATAAGATTACAGATATCCAATTAATTTGATTTTTTTTAATGAATAATTTGTTCGATAAATCTTATAATATGTATAATTTAAATTATAAAAAAAAAGGGGAATAATCTCCCACAAGAGACGCAACGCACCCCTTTTGTAGGAATGCCAGATGCTTGGTGCAAAGATGTTCACGTGGCTTCACCGACGACGACTTCAGTGCTAACTGTTGCCATTTTTCGTTGGTAGTCAGTCTTTGGTCAGAAGGTCAACGTTTATTTTTATTATTATCTTATTTTTAAAAAATTTAAAAATGGAACTTTTATTTTATTTTATTATATTTCAGTAGCCCACTTTTACGCTTTCCATTCAATTTTATATTAGTATCTTTCCATGCCAAAATCAATTACCTGCACAAAATCTGCCGACGTGGTGGGCTCCACATTTCTCTCATTAACAAATGAATATTAAGTATATAATAATAATAAATTAATAATATTATTATTTGCTTAATAATATTAATAATCAATGAAATTTTTTATATTATAGCAATATAATTATGTATGAGAAAGATAAATGTTCTTCAATAAAATTGAAACTAAGAATTAAAATTAACTTTTCCAATTTGAATATTAAATTTTTTTAACTTGAAAAATTATTAAGAAAATTGGTGAATAATTCATTTTTTTGATGTATAGCATTAGATCCAAGGATTGTTTTGTTTTGGTGATAAGTACGTAACCACTGCCATTGCTAGTAGGCAACAAAAAAAAATCATCGAAAATATGGATAGATAAGCAAATTAGATGAACAGATAAGATAATGACGTGTGAATAGAAATAGATAATATGAAACACAAATAGATGAACATATGGAGAATAATAAATAGATAGATAGAAATAATATGATATTTCAAATTATTATCATTCATTTAGCCCAACAAATAGAGTTTGAGACTATTATCAAAAAAATTTCAAAATTATACTTATAACCCAATCAATTGTCCAAAACTATTTGTTAAAATTGAAGTATTTGAAGTAAACCAAACTGTTTGATATAAGTAGTTGTGTTGGGTGACAAGATAGTAATAACAATAACAATAGCTAAACTAGTAAAATATTAGCAGGTATAGTAAAATAACTAATGTATCATATATAAAATTAACATTAATTACGAGCACTACCTTCCTCCTTCAAATAATACTTAGGTCTAGTTTGAAAATATGTTATTTTAATAATTTTTTAATTAAAATATGAGATAAAAAATTAGTATATTTGGAATGATTTTTTAATTTTTTATAAAAAAAACGTGTAAAAAGTAGAGAAAAAATATAATTTTTAACTTTTTGATATAAATTATTGATTTTTTTAATAATTTTTAATTTTTAAACTAAAAAATAATATTATCAAACGAGATCTTAATATAAAAATATTTTGCTTAACAATATTAATAATCAATGAAAAATTTTATATTATAGCAATACAGACTATAATTATGTATGAGAAAGATAAATGTTGTTCAATAAAATTGAAACTAAGAATTAAAATTAACTTTTCCAATTTGAATATTAAATTTTTTAACTTGAAAAATTATAAAGAAAATTGGGGAATAATTCATTTTTTTGGTGTATAGCATTAGATCCAATATTTGTTTTGTTTTGGTGATAAGTACGTAACCACTGCCATTGCTAGTAGGCAACAAAAAAAAGTCGTCGAAAATATGGATAGATAAGCAAATTAGATGAACAGATAAGATAATGACGTGTGAATAGAAATAGATAATATGAAACACAAATAGATGAACATATGAAGAATAATAAATAGATAGATAGAAATAATATGATATTTCAAATTGCTATCATTCATTTAGCCTAACAAATAGAGTTTGAGACTATTATCAAAAAAGTTTCAAAATTATACTTATAACCCAATCAATTGTCCAAAACTATTTGGTATTTGTTAAAATTGAAGTATTTGAAGTAAACCAAACTGTTTGATATGAGTAGTTGTGTTGGGTGACAAGATAGTAATAACAATAACTAATGTATCATATATAAAATTAAAATTAAAATTAATTAGGAGCACTACCTTCCTCCTTCAAATAATGCTTAGGTCTCGTTTGAAAATATGTTATTTTAATAATTTTTTAACTAAAATATGAGATAAAAAAATTAGTATGTTTGGAATGATTTTTTAATTTTTTATAAAAAAAAAATATAAAAATAAAGAGAAAATAAAATTTTTAACTTTTTGATATAAATTATTAAAATTTTTAATAATTTTTAACTTTTTTGGCTTGCTGAAACTGTTGCATGTCAAACGAGGCCTAAAGAACATGAATTCCCTCTTTCTTGGCATGCTAATTTAATCACCCTTTTGATCCTCTTTCTTTTTTGATTGGTGACTTTTTTTTTTCTTTTTTCTTTTTTCCTCCTCCTCCAATCACCATCTGTCACGTGTGTGTGGGATGGTAAGAGTTAAAGTTTAAAAGGGTTTGAATTACTACTGTATTATTAATCACCTCATTATAAATCTCTTCATTATATTTCCGAAAAGAAACGGGCTTAGTTACACAGACGACCGACCTATCTGCCATTATCCATTTCTATAGTAATTTACTACAAATACACGGCGTCAGAACCCATACTGACTGACACACGTACATTCCGATATTTTGGGGGTCCATTTCATTGACATTTCGAACCCACCAAACGACGCCGTTATCATCCATCAAACACCAAAAAAACAGATTTATTCCATTCCATCTATCACCAACGCCTATAAATAAAGCAGCATTCCCCCCATTCAACCCACAAAACAAAACTCACCAAACCATTCTCACATTTCATCAAAAACTTCTTCATCTCTAGACCAATCTCTTTCAAACTCTAAAATTTGTTGTGAAAAACTAAATGGCTCCTCCTAAACTTGTAAGTAAAACCACCAAGGCCACAAGCCTGGTCAAGGCGGCGAGCCTGACGAGCCGAGCTTATGTCACGTTCTTGGCTGGGAACGGTGACTACGTGAAGGGCGTGGTCGGGCTGGCCAAGGGCTTGAGAAAGGTCCAGACAGCGTACCCACTTGTGGTGGCAGTGCTGCCAGACGTGCCGGAGGAGCACCGCTGTATGCTGGTGGCTCAGGGCTGCATAGTCCGTGAGATCGAACCGGTTTACCCACCTGAGAACCAGACCCAGTTCGCTATGGCCTACTACGTCATCAACTACTCCAAGCTTCGCATCTGGGAGGTATATGCCTGTGTAATTCATACTAATAATTATCTTTGTAGCTATAATAAAGTCATATACATTTGTTTGTGATTTAATTGCAGTTTGTGGAGTACCATAAGATGATATATTTGGACGGAGACATTCAGGTGTTTGAAAATATAGACTACCTTTTTGACAATCCAAATGGATACTTTTATGCTGTGAAAGATTGTTTCTGCGAGAAGACATGGTCTCACACCCCACAGTACAAGATTGGGTACTGTCAACAATGTCCTAATAAGGTCCAATGGCCTGCTGAATTGGGTCCCAAGCCTCCTCTCTATTTCAATGCTGGCATGTTTGTATATGAGCCTAGTCTCTCCGTCTACGAAGACCTCTTGAACACTCTCAAAATCATCCCTCCTACCCCTTTTGCTGAGCAGGTAAATGACCTATTGTTGTCAATTCAAAATCCAGATATCTCCATCTTTAAAATTCACAACCCGTTATTCTAATAGATTTTCATTCACATATTGTGATGTAGGGATTGAGAATTTGTTTTTTACATGTGTATATATATATGTTTTGCCTCTAATTGGGTTTGGGATTTAATGGTTGTGCTTTCAGGACTTTTTGAACATGTTCTTTAAGGATGTTTACAAGCCTATCCCACCAATTTACAACCTTGTTTTGGCTATGTTGTGGCGCCACCCAGAGAACATTGAACTTGATAAAGTGAAAGTAGTTCACTACTGTGCTGCGGTGAGTGATTATGATCATTTATAATCCAATTCTTCAATTTTTATCTCAAATTATTTTAATTAAATGAAATCAATATTCTGAAGGGGTGAATTTGTTGTTTGGGTATTTTTCAGGGATCGAAGCCATGGAGGTATACTGGGAAAGAAGAGAACATGGATAGAGAAGACATCATAATGCTAGTAAAGAAGTGGTGGGACATATACAATGATGAGTCATTGGATTACAAGACTAACATATCACTCATTGAAGGGGTGGCACTGTCGGAGACCAGTGTTGGTCATTACACGCCCGCTCCATCCGCTGCTTAGCTTTATTTTTGGAGGGGCTAAAGTGAAGAACCGCATTCATAGCTAATCCTGTTTTTTAGTTCTTTAATTTTTTAAATGTGTATAGGCTTTTTAAAGTTATGAAGGATGGTCTTACTTAAAGTGGAAGATGATGTAATTAGGAAAAATAGATATTGCTTTTGTTTTTGTTTAACTTGTATTTTATTGGGTATGTGAATATTGGAAATGTATAATTGCACTTATACATTTTCATTGTTAACAAAGGTGGAATCCATGGTGCTCTGTATCTCATTTAGATTTTGTCTAATATCTCCATGATTAACAAGTTATAACCATATTTCCAATCAGAGTTTCTTTGTTAATTTGGATGGTTGTTTATGGATCAGAGTGCACAATCACAATTTCAAGTCCTAGAACACAATCGATCAAACGTCAAATTCTCTCAACCTGTCCAGATTCTCATAATCCTAAGTCAAATTTCTATGGGAGTGTCTGACCTGATCGTGTAGTGTGAGATGGGGATAAAAACAACAAAAATCCCAGTGAAGATAAGAGTCTTGAGTTCTATATCATGGTTAGTCATTTGACCGAACAAGCAAATTGCAGGACTTGCAATTCACTTGGGTTTGGAAAAATTCATTTTTTACTAGCAAGTCAAGATAAGAGTTAATTTAGTCTACAAAAAGATAAAATAGACTAAAAGATCAAAATATTATATCTAAATGATAATCGTTTTTTTTTTATTTATTTTTTATTTTTATTTTTTTAATTCTAATAGATTTTCATTCACATATTGTGATGTAGGGATTGAGAATTTGTTTTTTACATGTGTATATATATATGTTTTGCCTCTAATTGGGTTTGGGATTTAATGGTTGTGCTTTCAGGACTTTTTGAACATGTTCTTTAAGGATGTTTACAAGCCTATCCCACCAATTTACAACCTTGTTTTGGCTATGTTGTGGCGCCACCCAGAGAACATTGAACTTGATAAAGTGAAAGTAGTTCACTACTGTGCTGCGGTGAGTGATTATGATCATTTATAATCCAATTCTTCAATTTTTATCTCAAATTATTTTAATTAAATGAAATCAATATTCTGAAGGGGTGAATTTGTTGTTTGGGTATTTTTCAGGGATCGAAGCCATGGAGGTATACTGGGAAAGAAGAGAACATGGATAGAGAAGACATCATAATGCTAGTAAAGAAGTGGTGGGACATATACAATGATGAGTCATTGGATTACAAGACTAACATATCACTCATTGAAGGGGTGGCACTGTCGGAGACCAGTGTTGGTCATTACACGCCCGCTCCATCCGCTGCTTAGCTTTATTTTTGGAGGGGCTAAAGTGAAGAACCGCATTCATAGCTAATCCTGTTTTTTAGTTCTTTAATTTTTTAAATGTGTATAGGCTTTTTAAAGTTATGAAGGATGGTCTTACTTAAAGTGGAAGATGATGTAATTAGGAAAAATAGATATTGCTTTTGTTTTTGTTTAACTTGTATTTTATTGGGTATGTGAATATTGGAAATGTATAATTGCACTTATACATTTTCATTGTTAACAAAGGTGGAATCCATGGTGCTCTGTATCTCATTTAGATTTTGTCTAATATCTCCATGATTAACAAGTTATAACCATATTTCCAATCAGAGTTTCTTTGTTAATTTGGATGGTTGTTTATGAATCAGAGTGCACAATCACAATTTCAAGTCCTAGAACACAATCGATCAAACGTCAAATTCTCTCAACCTGTCCAGATTCTCATAATTCTAAGTCAAATTTCTATGGGAGTGTCTGACCTGATCGGGTAGTGTGAGATGGGGATAAAAAAACAAAAATCCCAGTGAAGATAAGAGTCTTGAGTTCTATATCGTGGTTAGTCATTTGACCGAACAAGCAAATTGCAGGACTTGCAATTCACTTGGGTTTGGAAAAATTCATTTTTTACTAGCAAGTCAAGATAAGAGTTAATTTAGTCTACAAAAAGATAAAATAGACTAAAAGATCAAAATATTATATCTAAATGATAATCGTTTTTTTTTTATTTATTTTTTATTTTTATTTTTTTATACAACCATCAGATCAACTACAAAAAAAAAAAAAAAAAAAAAGCCAAAACTTCATCCCAAACAGAACTTTTTAGTCAAGTTAAAATAGCTAAAAAATCAAAAAGTCAGACTAAAAAAGTTTATTCCAATCAAACACTTAGGGTTGGTTTGGCATAAATTAAATAATACAAAAAGTCAAAAAGTCACTATCCTATTTAAGTCACATCATCTTATTTAAATCACATCACCTCTCTAACACATCACATCGAACTCAACCCAAACCCAACCCATATAAGCCAACAAGACAAAAAGTGCACTTTTTTAGAACATCCCAAACCAACTCTTAATGTCATTGAAATCTATCTTCAATTCGTGTGTTGAGAATTTGCCAAATTAAAGCAATTAATTTGCATATCGAAGCGCAGGGGATGGCCTGATGGTTCGGCTTTTAGTTTCCATGTGAATTACGTTTTCAAAGTTCTCCTGAGAAGAAAAAAAGAAAAAGGAAAAAAAACCAAATAAAGAAGAAGAAATATAGATTAAAGGTAAGAATGGCAACGGGGCGGGGTAGGGTCGGGGATCACACTCCCCGTCCCTAATCCCCGATGGTAAAAATTTCTCCGTTCCCGATCCCGATCACTTATGGAGAACCTATCATTGTCCCCGTCCCCACCCTCTAACGAGGGTTGGGAAATGCGACCCCGAAATTCCCTAGACCAAAAAAAAAAAAAAAAACCCGAACAGAAAGGGAGAGAGATCAACAACAACATCATTAACATCATCAATAACAACATAAATAACAACATCATCAACATCATCAGATCTGTGTGAGAGAGAGAGAGAGAGAGATCTGCTCAGATCTGTCGTGGTGGAGGGAACCGACGCCGGAAGAGGAGGAGATAGTGCTCGGTGACAATGTTCGGTGCTTTCTCTCTCTCTCTCTCTCTCTCTTTGCTCTCTGTTCTCTTTGCTCAGAGGAGGAGGTGGTGCTCCTCGTTGCCGTCGTCGAAGGTGGCGCCGATTCGGTGAGAGATAGTGAGGAAGAGAGAGAGAGAGTAGATATGAAACGAAAACAAAAAGATGAAATGAGAGAGAGAGAAACGAAACAGCTAATAAAAAAATATATTATATACGTATATATATATATATATATATATAGAGAGAGATCTGCTCAGATCTGTCGTGGTTGAGGGAACCGACGCCGGAAGGGGAGGAGATAGTGCTCGGCGACAATGTTCGGTGCTTTCTCTCTCTCTCTCTCTCTTTGCTCTCTGTTCTCTTTGCTCAGAGGAGGATGTGGTGCTCCTTGTTGTCGTCATCGAAGGTGGCGCCGATTCGGTGAGAGAGAGAGAGGAAGAGAAAGAGAGAGAGAGAGTAGATATGAAACGAAAACAAAAAGATGAAATGAGAGAGAGAGAAACAAAACAGCTAATAAAAAAATATATTATATACGTATATATATATATATATATATATTCGAGGGACAAACGAGTCGGGGCTGGGCACTGATCACCGTTCCCGGCCTGAAATTGATCGGGGATTAATCTTTAAATACCATCCCCATCCCGTCGAGGGTATTTTTTGGGAAAAATCCTTTCAAATTGGGGTCGGGGGATCAGGTCCCTGTTGGGTCGGTTTCAAATTGCCATCCCTAATTGAAGGGCTTAGAGGCAAAATTCAAAATTTAAATACCAAAGTGATACCAAATGCATATTTTATTACTATTCCATTAATGTTTTAGGTGACTGTCTGAAATTACTTCAAATAGCAAATTTTATGAACAAAATTGACAAAATTAACATTTGGATATGATTAGAGCAATTGGTACAAATATTTCACATACTACAGAAAGAACCAAAAATTCCAGAGAGTCACCTTTGGAAGCATTTGCGGATAACCAAAGTATCACTCCTTCATTTTGATTATGTCATGACACAGAATGAATCCAATTCACAAACCCAGAAGGATCATTTGTCAAGTGTGGTGACATTCTACTTGTTTGTGCTGAAAGGGATATCCAAATTCTCTCTCTAGGATGAGAGCGTCTCTGTCTTAGGACAGTCTCTCTGGGTTCATCCCAGGTTGCCAGCATTTTTATCCTTCTTCCACACCTTGCTGGCTCTTTCTCCCCTACCCTTATGCAGCCTCTTCATTCCTGTTTACCGAACTTCCTTTGTCCTACCACTTGTTACCTACCTTAACTTTTCTTTTCTCTCTCTCTCTCTCTCTCTCTCTTTCTCTCAGTCTTCCTCCACCCATCCCTCTTCCCTTGTTCCTTGTTAACCTCATTCTTTCCACCCCCACCTCTCTCTCCTCTCTCTTTCTTCTCTTCCCCATTTTCTCACTCTAACCCCTACATTCCCCTGCTCCATCCAGATACTTTTTGTACCCACACATTTTCCCATCAACCCTTTCTCTGCCTGTCTATGGTGTCTAGCACAATGGAGCTCCCGGAGCTTGACAGTCTGACTCTCGAAAGATCGGGTGAGAATGAGGATCTATCCCACCTATGTCTCCTTGGGAAGGTGATGGCCCTTAAACTATTGAATAGGAGTGTAGTCACTACTATTATCCGTAATGCTTGGCGAACTCGAGGTGAGTTTCGATTTTCCCATGGATGGAAAACGCCCTTCTCTTCCAATTCACTAATGAGGAAGGTCATAATAAAATCTTGAGGGACAGCCCTTGGTCCTCCATGCGTTTTCTATTAGCTCTTCTGAAAGAAATATTGAGAGAGTGATTGAAAGAGCTAATACACTTTGTGATTCAATTGTGTATTAAACATGAAGAGAAGGCTCCATTATATAGGAGAGCTAATACAACATCATTATGATACAACATTATGAAAGAAAACATATAAAAATAAAAGTAGCCGAAAGTTGAAGGCACTACCTAAAGCACTACAATAAATCATCTGATGGAGAAGCACTAACTATTAAATATATATTAATGATATAAGCATGCAGCTG